GAGCGAGAGCGGGTGCATCACCAGCGAGGACTGCACCGACATGGCCGACCGGTACCCGCTGTCGACCTGCTCGAGATTTGGGGAGATATGGGGAGATATGCGGAGATATGGGGAGAACCGGTACCCGCTGTCGACCTGCTCGACGGCGCGCGCGCCCAGCCCATAAGAGACATACCCGGCGCCGCCGCCGCCGTACTCGACGGGGGAGGTGAGCCCGAGCAGGCCCATCTGACCAAACGCGCGCATGATCCCGCGGTCGAAGTGGCCCTGCCGCGTCGCCTCCACGATGCCCGGCTTGAGCTCGCGCTGCGCAAAGCTGCGCGCCGACTCGTACACCGCCAGCTCCTGAGAGAGGACGGTGCACGCGCGGATGCGTCAGCGGCGGGCGCGACAAGGTGCAGAGCGTGCGCGTGAGGCGTGTCGGCCGACGCCTCTTCGGTGAGCGAGGCAGACAGCGCGAGCGGGTCCGTCCAATCAAACTTGGCAGTGGCAAGCGAGGGCGCGGCGGCGGGCAGGGAGGGCAGGTCGTGGTCGAGGTCCGACACCGCCGCGGTCGACAGCCGCCGGGCCGCCACCCTGGCGGCGTTGGGCGCCGAACGGCTGAGGGAGCAGGCCTTGATCATGATGTAAAAGTGTCGTATGGGTCGGCAGGGAGGCCGGAGCTGCCGCTGGTCGCCAAGCGAACGAGAGTTCTTTTCTCGCTTAGGCGGCTCCGGTGGTGTGCCGGTGATAGTACTAGCACGCGCCAGTTCGCACCTGTCGTGCGAGCCCCGCAGAGGTGCGGGCGAGAGGGCGGCCCGAGCCCGAAAGGGCCCGCCCTCGGCGTTGCTCTACATGGTAACGGATAAGAAGAAGGGCTTCGACTGGACCCCGCTGCTCGATGAGAGCGTTCAGTGCCGCGTCGACCTCGACGAGTGCGAGATGCATTGGGGGTGCCCTTGCTACGAGGGCAAGTTCCAGCCGTGCGAGTACTTGTTGCTCTTCGCGTACCACGCACAAAAGGCGCTCGCGACGTATCCAGCGACCACTGGCGGTGCCGAGTGGGTCGCAAGGCTCTCGTCGGCGGTGAGGATTCTGGAGTCTCTCCAAGAGCTGCTCTCTGAGGCTATCGGCACGACAGATAGTAGCTCCGCTGGCTCCCGTTCGCTGCTCTTCGCGTCCCTTCCGGACGGCGGCCCCTCAACGCAATCGGAGGGGGTCAAGTATGTTACATCATACCTCGCGACCGTGTGTGGTGGCGGCGTGCCGTCCTCCCATCCCTCCCTTGGGTTGTCTGTTTTCTTTCCGCCCTTTTTTTCCTTTCCTTTACAGCCCGATCTCGCGATCGCGCTTGTCCATCGACCGCACCTCGATCGATGCCCGT